TGAGAGACTTGTTTGCCCTGTAAAACCAGTGGTTTTACTTAAATACTTTTGATTATCATGAGAATGAATTATTTTGTTAAAAGGTTGGCATCAACAATAAAACTTTCATATGTTACTGAGAAAAATGTCACCTTATAAATGTGTTTTGTTTTGTTTTTTTTCTAAATTTGCACATTTCTAGTACAGAAAATGGTATGCTCAATGAAAGCTTTTTTTAGGAAGCACCCATCCCTGACAGTATCCTACAGTTCTGTGTTCACTGCAATTTCAAATGAAAATTAAATGCTTTGTCAAAGCTGGTTAAGCAAATTGCTTTCTCTCTGATTTTCCCTCACAACCAATAAAAAATCATGTATTATTATTTGAATTGATCAGTTTTTCTTTTTTTTTTTTTTTAGTTTCATCGTTGTTGTAAAAAATGGTGGCATGCTGTGGGACCACATACTGTTTCACACATTATTCAAAAATTGCCAAAACTTCTAACCCTAATTTGGAGCACTTATACGCCACCAGGAACATCCCATTCTCATGCTGCCAACACCTGCTGGTGTGCGGTAGTCTCCGAGGAGTCACAGTTGTTTACAAGCTTGTGAACGTAACGATCCATTCATTTGTTATACTGCCTATTCGTAGTTAGGGGGCTGGAGCCTTTTTTCCGAGAGGCAGGATACACTCTGGAAAGACTGCCAGTCCATCCCAGATAAACAACACATTCAAGCCTATGGACACGTTCATGGATGGAAAGAATCCATATATGCACAGCGAGAACATACAACCTCCACACAAAATCCCCGGGTATTCAAACCTTGTGCCCTCTTGCTGTGAGACGACGGTGCTAACCATCGCATCACTGTACAGCCCACGATGAGGTTCAGAAATAGCAGGAAAATTCTCCTGTTCAAAGTTTACATTTGGAGCACATGAATCATGTTCCTTTGTAGCCAGCAAAGGAGATATTGAGCAAATAGTGAATTGAGCTGTATGTAAAGAGGAGCCTGTGTTGTGGAAAGGACTGCTAAGGTATGATGTTGAGCTGATTCCAAGATATTAGCATCATATGGCTAAGCACGCAAATGTCGTACTGTTTTATTAATTATACTAATTATGGAGAAACACACTTTTTAAAGCTTTTTATACAAGCAACAGCCAAATTGTTAAAAGAACCACTGTGATGCTTAACAAGCTAAAAAAGTTTTCTTCACCCACAAATAATTATTTTACATGGAAGGTTATGATTAAGTATTCTGTCACATCCATTTAAAAGACAAAGGTTCTCTCATTAATGGGTAGGATGGGCTCACATACTTTGAAATGTGTTATTTTCCTTGGCATTAAAGGGGAGGAGACATGACAAAAATAATTGGTACCAGCCCATGTTTTCACATCTTCATCTTCAGTTTTTGCTATACAAACAAGCCAGTGGGTTTCTGCTGTGAAAACTGGTTTGTGTTATCATGTTGGAGCTAATATATTACCCTGGAAACAAACAAAGCTGTGTTTTGTTATTGAATGTATGCAGTGTGAAGAACTCACTTCAAGATTAGATAAGATGTACTTTATTGACTCCAGAATGATAGTAATATAATAGTAATAATAATTATCTTAACATGACTAAGCGGTTTTGATGACGAAATTAAAACTCATGATTTTATTGTCTAGATCTAAGCAACAAACTGTGCATGGTTTCAAACTGACGTCCTATGGTTCAAAGTGGTGCACGTTCATGCACAATCTGCCCCACCCCTGCCCCATTAATGAGGACTTAGCAGCTTGTTCAAGTAAACAACTCTTAATTACATTTGCTTTGTGGAAGAAGTGAGAACAACCTGCTGGTGGAAAAAAAGGATAGTGATAAATTTCCTTCTCGGCTTTTATTAATTTAGAAATACCCAAACTCTCATCTATCATGGTTAATTGATCAATTAATTTTTTGTTTAACCTTTTAAATCAGAACCCCCCCCCCC